CACATTATGTAGACATCGGGTGTAAAAAACCAGCCGTTATGTAACAAATTTGTTAGAGACAAATTTGTTAGTGTCATATATAACGTTCGTTATGGAAAATCAGTCCGTAGCCTTAAGTGCCTTAGGTAGACAGACTTAAGTAGACATATACGTGTATATCTATCTTTGATAGTTTTAACAAATATCTTGTTATACCCCCTAAAAGCACTATATAGAATGTACTATTTCCAGAAATTGCCTTTGTGTTACTGTGGCAGTAACTGTAGATATATTAGCGTATGGAAAAATGTTACGTTAGGCCTATGACACTAGTTTTCGGTACTTCCACCTATGGTTGGATAAGAGATATATATATATATATAATATATATATATTATATTATATATATAGTACTTACTATTCTACTTTTATATGATGTTCCATCTTAGCCAGTCTTTTCAATTAATGATTATTGCAGCCAATTAGAGTTGCTTACACGATGAATAACTAAACGCAGTTTACCTCCAAGTGCACTAACGACGGTAATAAATAACGAGAATTCCACGCAGCTGCTTCCCTGAATGTCTCTCAGTGCTCGAACGTCTGCCGTGCACGTCTCTAATTCTGTGGGAAATGATATATTTTTGTTATTCGGACACATTCTATTGGTTTTGTAATATTTTCATTGCAAGTAGGCCTACTTTCTTTTGTAAAAATGCTTAACCGTAAGATTACAAACACTTTTTTACGCCAGCTGACAACTTCACACCAGTGTCACATTGTGGCCGGGATACTTAGCCACCATATAGAGAAATTCCCGCTTCAATAACCCTAGAGGCAGGAATGCTAAGCTTTACTTAAGCGCCACATTCGTGATGAATAGATCCCTATAAACGAAACGTACGCATATAGACGTTGTGCTCCTCGGGAAGATCTATCTGCGCTGCACTGTGTACTGTCACCCGATCATCGACACCTGGTGGCAGCGCTTGCGTAACAGAGCGATGGGATCGTTTAATCTTGTTACCCACGGCATGAACTCTTCCGTTTCCCACAAATATTAGTTGTCGCTCATCCTCCGTCTGTGAGCCGCCTACCCAATGACTTCCAATTTCCTCGTCAAGCGGAAGCGACTCCAAGAAGACGTCACCATTGTAACGTATGCGCCCTGAAACCGGAAGTCGACCCTCGTTCGTCTCTGCACCATCTATCCAATACTTTTCCGTTCCTTCTTCCAAAGGAAGCGACTCAACGAAGATGTCATCATTGTAACGTATGCGCCCTGAAACCGGAAGTCGAGCCTCGCCCGCCTCTGCACCATCTATCCCATACTTTTTCGTTTCTTCTCCCAAAGGGAGCGACTCAACGAAGACGTTGTCAGAGTCGCGCCTACTCCCTGACACCGGAAATCGATCGTGGTCGTCTAGCCAATACTTTTCCGTTTCTTCTTCTAACGGAAGAGACTCAACGAAGTCGTCATCATTGTCGCGCATGCGTCCTGGTACCGGATGTTCTATCTCAGTTGCCGGTAACCCTCTAGAGTGGTGAAGGTCTGCATTCTTATCGAGAGGAAGAGAATCAAAAGATTCCATGAACATGTCTTTTCCCGAAGAATGTGCTCCTATGCCATGAGGGAGATACTCTGCAAACTGTCCAGTCTTGTACGAGTCGCCCCTACGCGCTAATGCCGGGAGCGATACCTTGGGGTTTGAATCAAATAATGCCTTGGCATTGCGAGGGGTCTGGGGTAGAAAGTGGCGCGACGTCGGAAGTTTCACAGGATTTCTCTCGAATCTCTGCTCGCTGCGTGTTTGGGTGGACAACCGTTGCGTGAACCATCTAGTTGGTGACTCCTTCTGCCCTTTGGATGTTTTTCGGCCACATTCCGTCTACAATAAGTAAACAAGCGATTCCCTGTACACACGCGCGCACGCACGCACGCACGCAGCAATGTACGCACATACACACACACGCACACACACACACACGCATATTATTAGGTCTATATATATCTACATATTGACAACATTGTTGTATGGATTAAAAATTTGTCTCTTTGACTACTATCTAGAATATTGGATATTGGACGTTGTTTGTTTCGCGTACCGGGGTACACCGATGTCGACACAGGTTAACGGCGCATTCGTAGTACATCTGAGGTCTATCCGGAAATCTGAACGCTTCATATGTCACGTATAAATATGAAATTTTCCCATCCGAATACCTATTCACGTCAGAACGCATCCTGTCGTATGCTGGACAACTGGAAAGTAATAAATTGCAATTGAGTAAATATTGTATATGAATGAGTCTACTATATCCGTCCTTCATAAGATTGGATTCCTGCAGCGCCATCACACATCTAACTATAATATAGAGCCATGCTATACGACATGCAACGATATCAATAGTTCATGATAGAGATCTCTATTTATAACTCTTGAACCATATGCAACTCCTACTCCGTAATGAAATTCAAAACATACGTCGTGGACAGGATTCGAACCTGTGCGGGCATAGCCCATTTGATTTCGAGTCAAACGCCTTAACCACTCGGCCACCACGACTGTACAGATATTACAATTAGTATTATACTATAAATAATTGCTCATCATATATTTGAATTGACAACGTTACATGGTTAGTTTTATAGAGACGTATGTAAAATGTTACTGGTGTTACAAGAATGTACTCCGTATAAATTCGCATGCTTAGACATGAAATATGTAGCGTCGCAAATGACTGCTGATTACACACACACACACACACACACGCACGCACGCACGCACGCACGCACGCACGCACGCACGCACGCACGCACACACACACACACACAAGTATATATAACGTATACCTAATACCTTATAACTGTATACCTTATAATTCAACTCACCCGTCAGTATCGAGAAGAACTGTTTGCCGGTTTCCACTGCCATCGTGAGCAACGCAGCTGCTAAATGAAACGTCCCAGTAATCTAGAGTAAAGAGTAATTTATTTTTACTTGCATAGATACCTTTGGTGGCTTCTTGTTTCAGCTTCAACATACACAGAACTAATAAGTGGAAAGCCGAATATTAAATTAGGAGTCATGACAACAGCATCCGATGCAGGATCTTAAACTTTGAAATCACAAAGAGTCAGTCGTAAAAAAAGAAATCGGTATAGAAGCACTCGTTAATTACACATTATCGTGATAAGAACGCCGATTTCACGCATTTGCACTTCTCTATTGTTTCCGCCCTGTGAAAGATTGGTTCTCTATATATAATCTTGGAGTAAACATTCTGACTCAGAATCATTACTCCAAGATATAATTATACTCCAATATATATATATATAATATATATGTATATATGTATATATCTATATATCTATATATATATATATATATATATCGTAAGTATCGCATATGTTTGAGCAATCGTCCTGTACCTGTGTACGGCCAGGACAGCACAAGTGTGGCTTCGCTGCCGATTTTCAGTCGTTCTGCCGAGTCGCGGTAGATGTCAGTGCCCGCGATAACCTTGAGTGCCGTGACTGGCGTTGATGGTGGCGCCTCCTCATCAAAGGCCGGCCGTGCCGCCATTACGCGGTCTTCTCTGTCCAAGGCCAGGGCTTCTAGCGGTTCTCCCTCTCTCTTGCCAGCCGACGTGGGCTCCAGTAGCGATGACCAGTCCGGGCGGCGGTTTAGGTAGTCGTAATCCACGTACGGTGGCGGGTCAGTTTGAGCGATTATCGACCGATCGTTGAACGATGCTGACCACGTCTGGGGTTGTTTCGAGTTAGTAGCAGGTGACCACTCGTAGGGTGATGGATAGCCATCGGTTTGATAGGAAAATCGGACAGGAGTTTGCTGCGTATATGCCACGTATGTGGCTGGGGGACTCTGGGAAGGCTCTAGCTTTCGATCGTGCCCACTATTTAGGTAATAGTCCTGTTGCGCGGGTTTAGCGTACCCCGATATGCTGGCGTACGGAACGTCGGTGCTAAATGACTTGAACAGATCCGCAGTGTAATCGCTTTCCTGCTGGTTCGTATAGCCGTTATTATATGGCGGCTTGTATAATGGAATATTCTGCGATTCAGGTTTGGACGTATAGAGTGGATTTATAGCCTTTGGACTTTCCGTGCGACCTGTATGCGGTAGAAGCACAGCTCTGTAGATGTAAAGTGGTTTCTGTTGCTGCGATAGTTCATGATCGACAAATGGCAAGTACCGCTGTCCATCTTTAAAGATGTCAAGTGGATGACTGCTTGATGTTATCGTTCGTGGGGATGGTGTTGTAGTTGTTGTAGTCGTCGTTGTTGTCGTTGCCGTTGTTGTTGGCGTTCTAAACGTTTAAATTACGGTAAAAATTAAAAATTCGTAATCAACTATTATCACCGTTGTTTGCAAATGCACTGTGACAGTATGCCTTTTTAATTAACACATCAGAAAATTGCCTTTTTTCATAATAATATGATCGCTAGGATCTTAAGTAATAATTTTATGTAAAATTGCACAATTCTATATAAAAGTGCACGATTCATGTGTCTATCTTCCTCCTTTTTTTTATCATACTATCGTTAGACAAAAGGTTACTTACGCAACTTGAATGTTCACGCGCAGATTGGCTGCAAGTTCGTCTGGTTCTGGATCCTTAACGGTGACACCCGCATTTGGTGTATTCATTCTCATGATACCTGGCGCAACGTTTGTATTAATAGTAATTTCCTATAAAAAATAGAGATACGGTGATTATGGCACGTAAACATAGTGGCTATTCTCGCGTCGGCCTTTACCGAACAATCACAATTAAATTTCTAGTTGCTTGATCGCTGAGTCGGGTCAATCTGTGCCACTCTATGTAATTAATTGAATGTGCTCTATTATCATTAACAAATTATTAGTGGGTTTTGGGAAGCTGTGTGTGAATTTGTGCTAGAATGATGATAGATTTTCCCCAACATGTCCCAGTTTAAATTTCTACTAGGGAATTATGTGGTATCGCGCGTTATAACAACAGAACAATCGGAAAGC